TCACAGTTGATTTTACACATCGAATATACTTAATCAGAGAAACTTATAAAATTCTTCCAATACCATATTGTCTCGCGATTTGTGATAGATAAATTCTAAGAAGAAATTTTCTATCGATCACGCGATTCACGCATTTAATTCTCCTCGCTCGTGCAAATATTTTAACATTTATTTCACGCATAATAATTATTACGCATTATGGCGTAAACACGCTGTAAATATGCTATTAAAATTTTATATTATTGAGATTTTTTGTTGTTGCTCCGATATGCGATGAAAAGAGAGACATTTGTCGCCGGCTTAAGGGGATGCTGCCGTAGTTCTGTTTTACCAACTTTAAGTTAGGTTAGGTTCACTTTTTATTGAATATACAGATTGAAAAATTCTCTACAATGAAAGTACTGATAATAATGAATGGGGAGCGTTGTCCTGCAATTAATTTTTGCTGTTGTATGCCTTGACATTGATTCCGCACGCAAATATACATACATAATTAATTCGAGTACGAATCTTTTGATACAGGTTTTTAATCTCATTTTTATTACTTCTGTATTATTCTTTCATGTCATCTCTATTGGAAGCGCCATATTTTGTGCACAAATAAACTGCTGAACTTTTGTATTAAATAAGTATTGTTATGAGTTGATGCAAGAGGACGAAAAACTGTAATTTTGTAACTATTATTGTTTTTTTATACGAAATTACAGCGTTTCCCGTTTATTATTATCAGTACTTTAATCATGGAGAAGGATTTTTTAATATGTACAGCCAATAAAAAGAAAAGCCCTTGAACTCAAAGTCGGTAAAACAGTCATGGTCAGCATCTCCTTTAATGCGGATCACATCATAATTTCTAATTGCACGCAAATGTACGCCGAACGTATAATTTAGGTAGAAATTGATTGCGTTACGCATATATTACGTATATGTGCATCATGATAGAAATCTGAATCACGTTCCAGGCAATATTACTCGTTTATTATTATCGAACATTATGCGCTGAAATTGTTAATAATAAACGGGCTAAAATCCATCGCGAATATATTTTCGTCTGCTCTAAATATTATCCCAAATCGCGATTTTGATTACACGACAGAAAAAAAATCTATTTTTGCCGCCCGTGAAAAAGAAATGACTTAGATCGCGCCGCTTTAAATTTCCTATTCTTTCACATCTGTTAATTGCTTTGATAGATAAAAATATGAGAATTTTATATCGGCCGCCTCTCTAAAGAGTTTATATTTTTATATTTGCAATTTTTCGTGCACGCTCGACTTGCTCGCCTTCCGCTTCATTTCTGATACTCCAACAACAAACACAGTAACAACTACACGATCCTCTTGTAATCCCAGCTGCGCACGATGCAGAGCAGCAACGGTGACACGATGTCGCTAGAAATAACAATATCGGATTTTGCCGTCCTATAGCCGTCATACAGTGCGTCTTCCGATCTAAATAATATCTTGAATTATATCCTTTTCGATGGTGTTCCGTCTCGGCTGAAATGAACTATTTTCGTCATATTTTTCGCTTTTCCGTGATACGTCAAATATTATTCTTCCATTTAAAGTACGGTGTCTCTCTTACAACTTAAATGTTATCGTTTACGTAGACTCTGTTTGAATTGCAGTACGATATTTCAAGGCCGACGGTTATTTCCATACAGTATATTAATATTCGCAATATTCCGCGAAAATAGATTTCTTGAAGAAAATGACAAAGTAACAAAGAAAGAATACACCGTTGGAACTTATATATATTTCTGTGTCGCATACAAATGCAACAATAATAATGCACATATTTAATGCCAAACCTAATAACCATTAATGTCTAATCTAACCACGATTTGTATTCCTTAGATTGCTTTAAGATTTTAAGAGATCTATTATATAATTTAAAAAATTAGATATAGAATAAGAAATTTTTATTTTTCCATTATTGTGATTCAATTTCAAAGCCACGCTTTTTTCTCGAAAGAGACAAATAGACAGAGAGAATTTTCTTTTAGAATTTACCCTAAAAATCATGGTAATGGGACAATATGATATTGGAAGAATTTTTGTAAGAGTTTCTCTGATTAATATTTGCCACAATAAAAGATATAAAATATATTCAATTATTTTTACTATTAAAAATTTTTTTTCCAATACTAATATATTGTCCCACGATTGTCAAATTTAAATTTTTCCATTATTGTAATTCAATTTCAAAGCTGCGCTTTCTTCTCGAAAGAAACAATAAATACACAGAGGGAGTTTTCTTTTAGAATTTACCCTAAAAATCATGGAAAAATATATGATATATATTGGAAGAATTTTATGAGTTTTTCTGATTAATATTTGCCACACAATAAAAAATATTAATATTTACACAATAAGATATAAAATATGTTCGATTATAATTGTACTATGTAAATAATAATATTTTTTATTTTTATTTACAGAAAACTTATAAAAAATTTTTTTTCCAATACCACATATCATCCCACGATTGTCATGATTTTCAAATTCTCTCCATGTATTATATAATTTTTTACTCGCGCAAAAGATTAAAGGGGAAGAGTGCTGAATATCTCTCGCGCTATTTGACTCATTACGTAAGGCGAAGCAAATTCGTATTTTCTTCCTCGCGGCGCGGCGGCTCCAGAAACGCAAAGCGTCGTTAATCACGGCGATGCAAAGCGCCGCCGTTAATCATGCCAACTACACGCGTATTTGCGACCGCAGGCACGCACGATCGCGCTCACACGAGTCCTCTATATATCTCGTGTTTGCACACATTCGATGGAAACGGCTTCGTTCGATGGCACGAATACTCGGGAAGTTTATCGTATACGATTGATCTATTGTTTTGGCAGCCTCGCTATTTCATCATCGCGACATCCGATATATTCGCGGAGCGTGAAGGGATCGAAAGGGTTGATTGTACATACACTCCGAATGGGAAAAATCGCTCCCGATTAATTGGAGAAGCTACACGAATCGCAACACGACCGTTCGCGCAATTATTCTACGTTGTAATTTGAACAAATAATTTGAGAAAATCGTGAAATAATAGTTTCTTTTAGAAATTTTATACACTCGTCGGAAGCGAGGTTTTGTCCTCTTTCTCTCTGCACTCGTGATTATTAGGTTTATTATTAATTTACTGTAGAAAGAGAGGCGCGCACGTAAAAGCACGTATAATGAAATTTGCATTACATTGATGCTTTCCTAAAATAAGACTGATACCGAGATGTGAAATTATTTGCGGTTCTTCGTAAAAAATCTACATCATGTTTTGGTACACAAATTTTGTTTAAAAGATATTTTTATTATATTTTTTAAAGTTTTGAATTATTATATATATATATATATATATATATATATATATTATTTATCTATTTTTCTTATTAATATAACGAGGAAAATAGTTTCTAATGCATCCTCATGTGGATTGTAACTTGAATAAGGTGTGACTAACGTTCTCCTCTACAATATGTAGAGAGCTTACCTTTGCGGAAAGAAGCTTAATCTCAATCTTGTTATAGCAAGTCGGGAAAGTACTTGTGTCCATATGTGCATAATAGTGATTAACAAATAGTTAATTCTTAGTGACATGGAAAAAATGCAATTTGTCAATAATTTATGAAATTAATGCGAATACAACGAACGGCGCAAATGATTAATCTAACGGTAATTTAAACTGGATGATAAAGTCCACAATTTACATTCTGGAAACACACTTTTTAGAGATATATGATCTACATATTATAATAGGTATTTAATTAATAATATATTAATCGGCGTGTAATATTTAACTTGCCTCTCGTTATCTTAATTATTGGCTTGTGTTGTGAGCCCAGATAACGGAGCGACGATATCTCGATTTGCACTCGAGATTGAGCCGCAATCCGAACACGTGCTAACTACTCGTACAAGTTACGCTTTCTATGCTGTAATTTCTTTGTAATGTTAATGTGTAACGGTTTTGTGTAACAGCAGAATTTAAGACAAGTTTAATTCAACAAGGTTTCTAATTAGCCGAACTTGGGTTTCTGCCGGTAAGACGTAATTATATTATGCAAGAGACAAGGGATTATCTTTACGTGCTCCATTAATACGAAATAGATGGATCAATAGCTTGCCTGGTTGTCTACCGAGTTGTGATGGAGTCTTTTGTCTGCTGAAGCCACATTCTACTTTGACATTTATATCGTACTTTTTTTTCTGAATAAAACGTATATCTGACGCTACACAAAATCGAGATATATGATATATGGCATAATATAAAAAACAGGATTAATACCGTGTGATGATGCATATATGCGGTTTCATATATCATGAAACAAATTTGATAAGATTTTATGACAGGAAAGAAAAGTTCAATAAAAATATAGGAAGGAAAAATTCAATAAAAAATATAGCTAAAATATATCTCATTTTATCAGACATCTCATTTCATATAACGCTTTTATAGTAGTGAGGTTTCTAAGCAATTCTTGTGGTAATTACAAGATGAAAGCTATTTTTCCCTTTTACGCAATGCTTTAAAGCTGCCAGGGCAAGACAAGGGACTAGCTATCGACCCACATCCTGTCGTTTCTCTTCCCTTGGACCATGGTTATTTAATGATGGTTCGCCCGTAATGTCGGCATTGCATATAGCTGCAAAGCCAGAGATGCGGCTATTGTATCTGTATCACTCCGAAACTTCATGTATTATTAATGTTACGTGACACGTATAATGTGCAGGGCGATATAATTACACTAGTCATTGCACAAAAAATAAAAGGAACGAAAATAATATATATTAAATATATATATAGATAAAGAATGTTTTTTTTTATATAATAAATAATGAAAAAACATTTTTTGGTAGTAGAATATGATATATGGCTTCTGTGAGAAACGTATATTTTTATAAGAAATAATTGACGCTGTGGAATTTTATAATAATGTTTTATTCGTTGTTTAATGTTTAATATACCATTTTTATTATGACAATGCGTATTATTTCCAGATTGGTCGACGACAGATGTGTAGTATGTCCCGAAGCTGGAGATTTATCAAATCCTCCGAAAAAATTCAGAGGTAAGAGGTTTATATCTTTTCAAATAATTTATGCTCTTTTTGTTGACTCTTATTATGAAGTAAATTATGTCGAGTTTACTGACAATTTTTGTATTAGATATATTTCTCAATTAAATATTATTCCGCGAATAATTATAAAGTGGGTAATGTTAACATAAGTATATATATACTGTAACAATATTGAACGATAGCAATCGTATTGATTTTTAGATTGCCTCTTCAAAATATGTCCTATGAACCGATATTCTGCTCAAAAGCAATTCTGGAAGGCAGCAAAACAAAGCGCAAGTTCGGGTACAGACGCTATACTACTTAAAAGGCTTCATGTGAGTTGTAAGAATAATATACTTTTTAATCGATTCTGTCACTTTAGATTACACATAAGAAAATACTCTTACAATTGGTCCATTTTTATAACAAAAATAAAAAATATAATATATATAATATAAATATATTTACAAAAAAATGTATGTATTTAAAAGTAGAAAATATCCAAACTTGTTTTTCATATTATATGAATATTATTTAATCAGAATTTATTATTTTCGGTTAACGAAAGGCAAGAGAGAGAGAGAGAGAGAGAGGGGGGGGAGAGGGGAGAGAGAGAGAGAGAAGAGAGAGAGAGAGAGAGAGAGAGAGAGAGAGCAGAATGAGCAGGAGATGAAAGTGTTGTTTTCGAAAAATAAATAATATTATAATATTTCATATTTGTATATTTGAATATGTTACACATATAAATTAGTTTAATGAAATAATTATATAATTAATTTATTTCGAGCTTAGCATGCGGCTGAAATTGAGAAAAAGCAAAATGAGACTGAAAACAAAAAACTATTGGGCACCGTGGTTTCGTACGGCAATGTCATACAGGTAAGAAGAGAAAAGACTATTATATATATTTTTCTATCTTTACATATAATCACTTCCAAGTGACATTATTATTTTACTGAAGTATATCTTGAACGTCTTATGCTTGACCGCATATTCTTATAACAGTAAAAAGGGTATGTGATTAATAATAGATTTATCAATACCGCTAGGGGAGTAATTTTCCCTTTAACGCCTTCTTTTTTCGCAAAGCGATCATAAAAACTGTCTGGTACATCCATCCGTATTGGCATAGTTATCTGCCTTGTATAGAGAACGCGATAAGTGCTTGCCAATTAACAAGTTTTCCTTCCTCCGCGATATCGTTGCCGTGTCGAAAAATAGAAGCAAGCGCTATAAACGCTAAGTTTCTCGCAAATAGTTCAATTTTTCTTCTTTAGTAGTGTGCCATTGTTGCGAGAAAATTAAAAAAAACTGTAGCACCTTGTAATCTTTGATAAATTAAACAACGTCATCGTAAATTGAACATATAGATTGTATTCTACGTATTTTATATATATTATATATATATATATATATATATATATATATATATATATATATTGGTATATTATAAATTACAGATTATATTCTCGATAATTATGTTCAATTAATATCTGCTATAATATATAGATTTTATTGAATTAAAGCGCATATGTTTTATATACGTTCAGTTGATGTATTGTGTATAAATTTTTATTAAATTATTATGTAATATTATCTCAATTTACATTTTTTTAAAGGAACGGTATTGTTGCTTTTCAGCGATGCTGATTAATATAATATTTTAATTTCGATAATATTTTTTTTTTTGACAGTTATCAGCTGATTTCTGTCAAAAATATTAATCGTGGATAAAGTATTATAAGATATTATTTACAACATATTATTATTTTAATATTTTTTACATATTATTATTTTAAAATTTAATTGGCAAATTAACGCTTTATTACTATTTTTTTACGGAACTCAACTGATTAAAGCGTTAACTTACTAATTGTATTTTAAAATAGTAATATGTTTAAAAATTAAAATAACATATTTTAAATAATATATAAACTTTGATTTTTTGACCAAACTAACAATTATTTATTTCTTTAAAAAATATGACGTTTCGACCATGTGGTTGTGGTCATTTTCAAATAAAATACAAATTACATTAATGCGGACGCTTTTTCATATGTAGTAATTCGTCAATAAATAAAAAAGAGAGAACATTATGTTACTACAAAGAATCGTCAGAAAATAATCGTGAAACTGCTAAATTATGATAGACGACTTGTTAAACATAATTTAGCGTTTCACGATTATTTTCTGATAATTCTTCATAGTAACATGATGTTCTCTTTTTTGACTTATTGATTATACATATGAAAAAGCGTTTGTATTATTATCGTAATTTGTATGTTACTTGAAAAGAACCACAACTCTATGGTTGAAACATCGTATTTTTAAAGGAATAAATAATTGTTAGTTTTGTCAAAAAACAAATCTATATAATTTTCTATTAACGACTTATATAAAATATCCAAAGTTTTAAATAATATGTTATACTACTTTAAATTTGATTAATATTTTTTGACAGTTATCAGCTGATTTCTGTCAAAAAATATTAATCGAGTTTAAATAAACTTTATATTATTTTTTTAATTTTATCATTTTTTTTTAAATTAATCTATATAAAATTGAAGAATGGCGCTCGTGTGTTATTCTAATATCATATATTCCATGTGTTTATAAAGATAGAGCTGACATAAAATATATATCACATAATAATACATTCGGGTTATACATATCGCGTACATATGTTGCATATATGTTTTATGATGTCAATTCTAATAAAAATAATTAACGTAGAAATAATTAACTCATATTGTTGTGCGCATGTATAAATTATATTGAGAAGTAACTCGTTTCTTGTAACGAAGTATAGTTATAGTTAAATTTTTTTGATAACTATAACTTAACATAGTTATTTCGTATTATACTATCATGTTATTATATAATGTTATATTTTAAGATCGAATTTTTGTTTTAAAAAAGTTGTGATTTAAGAACATAGCACTTGATAAGGGCCGAAACGTTGTGAAAATACAATAAATTTAATTATTTGCCAGAATTGGTCGATTGAATTACTACCATTTTTTAATTATCATCTGGTGACTTCATAGTTTATATCATTTATAACTTAACTTTGTTCCTTTTTCTGCATCTATAACTGTAACTTAACTTATACAATTATATAGTTACAGTTTTTTTATAACTAGTAACTAATTTAATATAGTTACTTTTTAATCGTTAGTTTATTTAAAATTTAGGTCTAACAATTTTTCGGAAAGTTACGACTATTTGAAATTTTCTGATTTTTTTACTGAAAAATCTGAATTCTAATTTTTATTCTATGTAAATAATATTAATTATTGTGTTAGAAGAAGTTAATTTAATTACAAATTATTAATATAATATATTAATTTAATATATTTAATGTATGTATTAAATTATATTTTAATATATTAAATGTATTTTCATTTTAAATTTAAAACAGTTGCAACTTATTGCGTATAAAATAATATAGTACGTAATCAAATATGTAATATATAATTTAGTAAAGCTTGAGATACATAAAATTATTATATTTAATTTAAAATATGATATATACTCATTGCAAAAAAAAGTAACGATTCGTTACTTTTTGAGTTATAATAACTGTAACAATAAGTTATTTTTCAGAGTCGGTAACTGTTAACTGTAATTAGTTACTTTTCAGTGAAAAAAACTGTAACTAGATACTTTTACAAAATGACTTTCTCAACTCCGATTATATTACACACACACACATGATTACGTGTCATGTACTGATGTTTTCATTGATTTTTTTATGCAGTTATTACATCTCAAGTCCAACAAATATCTGACGGTAAACAAGAGGCTGCCGGCGTTGCTGGAGAAGAACGCGATGAGGGTTTACCTGGACGCGAACGGCAACGAGGGCTCATGGCTTTACATAATGCCGTTCTACAAGCTGCGAAGCGACGGCGACAGCGTCGTCGTCGGCGACAAGGTGATCATGGAACCGGTAAACGCGGGTCGGCAAGGCCTTCACGTGGCTGCTAATTACGAACTGAGCGACAATCCTGGCTGCAAGGAAGTGAACGTCGTGAACTCGTCCACTTCCTGGAAGGTGACCCTCTTTATGGAACACCGAGAGAACCAAGAAGAGATCCTCAAGGGTGGCGATGTCGTGCGACTGTTTCACGCTGAGCAGGAAAAGTTTCTGACGATGGACGAGTACAAAAAGAAGCAGCACGTGTTTTTGCGGACGACTGGCAGAACCAGCGCTACCGCGGCCACCAGCAGCAAGGCCTTGTGGGAAGTTGAGGTGAGTTATCTAACTTTTTATGTAATTATTAAAATTTATTTATATATGTATACAACACATTACGCATGAGAGGTTGCGAGATTTCTTTTTTTCGAGTTTTTATTGTGCGGAAAACATTCTTCGGCATATTTTGACGCTTTTGCCATATCTTCTCATGTAAATATATAATCATCTTCGTTTATTTGTCGATGACTAGGTGGTACAACACGATCCGTGCAGAGGAGGCGCTGGCCACTGGAATTCAATTTTCAGATTTAAACACCTAGCGACTGGCCAATATCTCGCTGCTGAGATTGATGCGGATGAACCACCGGAACCTGTAAAAGGGAAGCGTGGTATGATATACAAATATTTCAAAATTAATATTTTAAGGATTAGATTTTCAATATTATATTAAGGAAAATGATTGATTATAATTTATAATGACTAAACATTTGCGCCTAGCGTTTGTGATTAATGAAATAAAAACAAATCGATTATTTATATTGATGATTTAATACAGATCCACCTGGACCGGTCTTCAGATTAGTGTCGGTGCCGCACAGCAACGAGATTAGCTCATTATTTGAACTGGATCCTACAACTTTAACTAGAGGAGATAGTCTAGTTCCGCAATCGTCCTTTGTTAGATTACACCACATATGCACAAATACTTGGGTCCATTCAACAAGCGTACCGATCGATAAGGATGACGAGAAACCTGTGATGTCGAAGGTATTGTAGCATATTTTAATGATTATAATTTGTGCATTAGAAAAATGAATGGAAATTATGAGGGGAGGTTGATTGAGAAAATATTGAATAAATGTGTTTTATTTGGTCATTTAATTACTTTTAAAGGTCGGTTGTGCAATCAGTAAAGAGGATAAGGAGGCCTTCGCTTTGAGATCCGTGTCGCCGGTCGAAGTGCGCGATTTGGATTTTGCAAACGACGCCTGCAAAGTGTTGACGGCTATGAACAGCAAGCTGGAGAAGGGAACCATTTCGCATAACGAACGAAGAGCTGTCACCAGCTTGCTACAGGATATTGTATACTTTATAGCTGGTTTAGAGAATGAACAGAACAAATCTGAGGCGTTGGAGTTAATCGTTACGAATGCTGTGAGGGATCGTCAGAAATTATTGCGCGAGCAGTACATCCTTGGACAGTTGTTCAAAATATTGCAGGTATTCGTGATGTGTTGATCGCGCACAGATAGACTTTCGCGAGGAACGTCTTCAAAAATACAGATTTAATTATTACAGGCTCCGTTTTTGGAAACTACAGAGGGTGAAGGACCGTTTCTCAGGATAGACGAGCTTAACGATCCAAGACATGCGCCATACAAGTATATGTTTCGTTTGTGCTATCGAATTCTCAGGCTTTCTCAGCAAGATTATAGAAAGAATCAGGTATCGTACTATTAAATGATATAATATATATTTTGTATATATATATAAATATATATGTATTTACAATTATTTTGTTGAAATATTATATCGTTGTTTCACACACGTACAGGAATACATTGCTAAATATTTTGCATTTATGCAAAAACAAATTGGCTATGATATATTAGCGGAAGATACCATCACCGCACTTTTACACAATAATAGAAAATTGCTGGAGAAACATATAACAGCTGCTGAAATTGAAACGTTTGTCGGTCTTGTCAGAAAAAATATGCGTAATTGGGAGTCGAGATTTCTGGATTATTTGTCGGATTTATGTATTTCTAATAAAAAGCAATAGCTGTAACACAAGAATTAATTTGCAAAAGTGTGCTTAGCGAAAAGAACAAGGATATTTTGTTAGAAACAAAGTAAGTGATAAATGATAAGGCGCGTAAACGATGTTAATCTTTCTAATACATTTTCATTTATTTTAGAATGGTGAAGACCCAGGTAGAAGTTGAAGATATTGATGAGAAACAAGAAAATGCCGAACCAAGAATTACCGTCATAGAAGAATTTGAAGTTCTATTAGAATGGAATAATAGAACTGTTAGTACATTTTTAATAATAGGTTATTGAAATTATAATATGTATTACACAAATTAATGTGACGTTTAATGCAGAAATCAATGTCTTTGAGTGAGCTGTCCAGAGGAGGGAAAGCGGGAAATGTAGACGCTGCAATATTAGACTATTATAGACACCAATTAAATCTCTTTAGTAATATGTGTTTGAATAGGCAATATTTAGCGCTAAATAATCTGTCACCACATTTGGACATTGATCTTATACTTAAGTAAGCATTGTGCGCTTATCCTTAACGTTTTTGAGAATTATTTGTAAATTGTATCTTGCATTTCTTACAGATGTATGGAAGACGAAACAGTACCATACGAATTACGCGCATCATTTTGCCGACTTATGCTACATCTTCACGTAGACAGAGATCCGCAAGAACAAGTAACCCCTGTTAAATATGCTCGTCTTTGGTCTGAAATTCCGTCAAAAATGAGCATAAACGAGTATGTAAACATATAAAAGATGCATCAGCAGGATATACAAGAAAAATACTTAAAAAATCATTTTTTTTGCAATTTTAGTTATGACACGAATAGAATGCCGGACCAAAATAAAGAGGCTGTTCGTACTAAATTTAGTTCTACAATTATGTTTGTTGAAGATTATCTCTGTAATGTTGTTGCGAAAATGTGGTCCTTTGGAGATCAAGAACAGAATAAGCTCACGTTTGAGGTATACAATCGTTTTCTCTTTTGTGTTTTTCTGTTCTCTAAATATACAGAATAAATTATATTTATTCGTTTTTATATACTGTTTGTAGGTTGTTAAATTAGCACGTGATCTAATTTACTTTGGATTCTACAGTTTTAACGATTTACTGAGTTTAACGAAGACATTGCTTAGTATCTTGGATTGTATATCGGAAAATGAATCCACCGATGGAAAAATACCTACGGGTGATATTGATTGTAAGTTTAATTTCTTTATTTTTTCATTTTTCACTTTATATGAGACATAATCTACAAACTATGTCTTATATTTTTACTGATTAAATTTTAATGAACCCTAGAGTAACATTTTGTAGTGGAGTCATTTCACTTCATCTATATATATACATTTCGCGCGCATGGTAGTAATCTATAATTGTAATAAAGGTTGATTTACTTTTTTACATTATTATATAATATATTGATGTAATAAATTTCCTCTTCTTATTTTTAAACATTTTTGTACGGATAACTTATTTTGATTTCAAGCTTTGCTTTTGGAAATTTGTATATATAACATTTTCTTTCATGGGGCTGTAATATATATTGATATACATATATACATATATGATTCGTGCTTTAGGAAAACTCCTTTAAAAATAAAATATCTTTTTGCGCAATTATATGTTAAATTATTTATAACATATGTAGAGTGAGAGAAATAAATGTTTGAAACTAATAAATTTACTCTTGTAAATATTTCATCACAGCTGATACGGTGGATCCTGAGGAGGCAGGTAATATCCTATTAGAAAGCTTGTTAAAAGCTATTTAAATTGTGTGATGTGTGGAATGGATATTAAGAAGATATAGCATGTCATTTTATGCATTGTACAATGTAGGTTTATAAAAGCTTTTTGTTGCTTAAACATTGTTTAACCATAATTTCTTATAGAAACCAGTATTTTAAAAAATGTGAACATAAAAATACAAAATTTAACATACAATATATGTAATATCCTTAATTATTGAATGTTTATAAGTATTGTTTTATTTAGCAATTTCGAAGTTAATTTTTTTTATCTTTTACACAGTAAATAGCAAAATAAATAAAGGCATAAATAAACAGAGAATCATGCTATTTTATATATTAGTTTATAATATGTCATTTTAATATAAAAATATTTTTTTAACACGAATTAAATTTGCTTGCTGCACAATATGATTTAACTATATGATATACATAAATATATATTGCATATGTGTTGAACTATTTTTTTAAATTTATTGGCTTTTAATACGAATTTTTTTATTTGTTGTGGTATGTTCAAATAGCTGAAGGAGGCATTCTTAGATGCATCGGTGACATGGGTGCTGTGATGACAAATTTAACATTAGGACCAGCCGGTCAAGTACTACCCAGTTCTTCTCCAAGACCAAAGCCATTAATGAAGAAGGAATATCCCTTGGTGATGGACACGAAGCTCAAGATAATCGAGATTCTGCAGTTTATTCTGGATGTGCGATTGGATTATAGAATTTCTTGTCTATTGAGCATATTTAAACGAGAGTTTGACGAGACGGCTGCTTCCGAGAAGACTGGAGATGTGATTTTAGGACAGAAGACTATTGATTTAGAAGCAATTGGTACACAAGCGGAAGGGATATTTGGGAGCAGGTAATATATTTTTGAATGTGTTATATAGGAGCTAGTATCTTAGAGAAATTGTATCCTTTTAGCGAAGAATGTGCGGCACTAGATTTAGATGGTCAAGGAGGCAGAACATTTTTACGTGTGCTGCTGCATCTAGCGATGCACGATTATCCTCCGTTAGTTTCCGGAGCCTTACATTTATTGTTTAGGCATTTTAGCCAAAGACAAGAAGTTTTACAAGCATTTAAACAGGTGAGATTCCTTTCTTATATATTCAGTATCCTAAAACATATTGTCAAAGGTAAGATTTTACTGATACTTGATGATTGTGATTGATTAACAGGTGCAGCTCTTGGTTTCGGATAGCGATGTAGAATCTTACAAACAGATAAAAGCGGACTTAGATGTTTTACGCCAGTCTGTCGAGAAATCTGAACTTTGGGTGTATAAATCTAAGGCGACAGAGGAACATGGAAATAAGAAAAAGAAAAGTAAAGAAGAGGAGGATGAAAGCATAATTTCTCGTAAACCACCTTTATTATCTCTAACGGATAAACAAGGTGATTAAAATTATATACAAGTCAATTATTTTATTGTTTTGTATGAATACTTTTTAAACGAGATGAAGTAAATAATGAAAGGTTTTAAAAATTAATTCGACACACTGGCAATTACTAATAGATATTGATGTATTTCCGTTTCGACTATACGGGTTGTGGGGGGTCCTTCTCAAAATTTTTCCGTCTCAATAATTATATCGCTTTAACATGAAAAAGTTGTTAGTAACCATATTATACATTAGGTCCTTATTTAAAAGAAATGACGCTGATATTATATATATATATATATATATATATATATATATATATATATATATATAATATGAAGTAAATAATAACAGTTAATTGTCTCTTTTAAAGGTTCTGCTATTGATTTGGACATCGGTCCACCGTTGCATCCCGAGCAAGCTGAGGAATACAAAAAAATTCAGCAGATTTTAATAAGAATGAATAAATTGTGCATTCAAAATCTGCCGGGCGGTCAGGTGAAGGCACGCAAACATGAACAGAGACTTCTGCGCAATGTCGGGGTACACACTGTCGTTTTAGATCTGTTGCAAGTTCCGTTTGATGCCAAGGAAGATATCAGAATGAACGAGTTGATGCGTTTGGCGCACGATTTTCTGCAAAACTTTTGCCTGTCCAATCAACAAAATCAGGTTCTTCTGCACAAGCAGTTGGATCTGTTCTTGAACCCTGGTATAAGAGAAGCGCAAACAGTATGCAGTATCTTCCAAGATAATTCTGTTCTCTGCAACGAAGTCAGTGCAAAAGTCATACAGCACTTTGTACATTGCATAGAAACGCATGGAAAGCATGTGCAATATTTGAAATTTTTGCAAACTATAGTGAAAGCTGAAAATCAGTTTATTCGAAAATGTCAAGAGATGGTGATGCAGGAGGTAAGATATACTATATATATATATATATATATATACATAACTCTTGTGGAATATTCTTCTATTTATCTTCATTTTTGTTCTAGATGGTTCAATCAGGAGAAGATGTTTTAATCTTTTATAATGATAGAGCCTCCTTTAATCATTTTGTGGAAATGATGCGATCTGAAAGACATCGTATGGATGAGAGTAGTCCACTTCAGTAAGTTATTTCAACATGAGATATATGTATTATACATTGTATGGTATCTTTTATCAATTTATTTGAATATTTGACAAGACTTTCTGAAATGAAAATATACACAGAAACTATCGTATTTTAGGTATCATGTAGAATTAGTAAAACTTTTAGCTTGCTGCACGATGGGCAAGAATGTCAATACTGAAATTAAATGTCACAGTCTCTTACCTCTAGACGACATCGTTGCTGTGGTATCACATCCAGACTGTATACCTGAGGTGAATCTACTGTTGAATTTTAAATATATTCTATTTTATTAAAATAGATATAGGAAATTACATTGGCATATTTTATAACTCAGGTGAAGGAGGCATACATCAATTTTCTCAATCACTGTTACATCGATACAGAAGTTGAGATGAAGGAAATTTACACTTCAAATCATATGTGGTCCTTGTTTGAAAAATCTTTTATAGTTGATATGGGTTTAATTGCCACGTCTACCCACGATCGAAATCACGCGGATACAGCCTTAGAGACTTACGTGACGAGTTGTCTAATGAACATTATATCTACATTTTTCAGCAGTCCATTTTCCGATCAAAGCACCACCGTGCAGGTAATGTCTTCATTCGTTACATTATATAAGAAAAAAAAATATTTTCTTTCATAGTGTATATATACACTCAGACACATACTTATGTCTCCTCTTTTTAATCTAATTAATCTACATGTTAAATCTTCTCGGTATACATGTATTAAATTTTTTTCGACAAATATATATATATATATTATTTGATGGGATAACATATTTTATATAAAATATTGTTTAACACTACATTAAATACAAATTTATTCATTTTGAGCGAAATTTGGGATTCACGCTTATTTAACTATTCAAAATTAATATCGATTAATAAGATTTATTGTGGTGTTGTTTTCGCACTTAAATTTTCTTGGTGGAAATTTTCTTGCACAAGTTTTATTCATAAAACTGGATTAATTTAATCTTATTTATTTCGATTATAACAATCTTTTATAGAAGAGGAACGTGTATTCAAGAGATATTTGCTTGCAGTTAATATATTTCATATTATACATATTTAGGGAGTATTTCATTATTTTTGTCAATTTTTATTATAATTATTTATTATAACAGTACAACTGTTAAAAAATCTTTATTTTAAAGTTTTAATATTTATTGTATTATTGTTACAAAATTCTCTAAAATTTATCAAAATTAATGTTATAAAAGAAAAAACATACTGGAAATCTTATATAATAAAAAAAGTTTATATTTCTGTGTTAATGTATGAATGATATAAAGATTAAATGTAACGATTGAATTGGCATAATGAAATATTTGCTACAGAATGTAAAATAAAATTATATAAATATATTTATATATTTTACGCTTTTTTAAATTAAAGGAGTTATTAAACAAGATGGCACAATTATAAGATAGTAAATATATACATTCTAATTACAATATATATGTAAAATACAATTGGTATTTATTTAATAATCTCGCTTTGCATGTAAACACATTTAATTAAGTTCACTTATTAACCAAGTACATATCACACACATACATATATATACATAACGAAAGAGAGGAGGAGAGAGAGAGAGAGAGAGAGAGAGAGAGAGAGCGAGAGAGAGAGAGAGAGAGAGAGAGAGAGAGAGAGAGAGAGAGAGAGAGAGAGAGAGAGAGAGAGAGAGAGAGAGAGAGAGAGCGAGAGAGCAATTAGATTAACGAATACAATAGATATCAATTATTTTAATTGTATGATGTGTGCTTGGTCATTGCTGATTGCATCAGCGGCATGTTCTGTGTTTTTGGCATGCAACACCTGGTCTTCTTTGATTCAACAACATTGGTTTATTGGGTCTATGGGTGCTATCGATCTATATGGTGGTGGGTTGGTTTACTAATAGAAACATCTGCACGAGGCTAGACTGTATTGGAACATCAAGGAGTGCGATCGGAATACAGATAATAATCTTTCTGGCTATGTGAGTATCGAATGCTAGGATTTTTTTTCTTTTAAGGGGGCGAGTGCAGTTACGAGATCATACGGCAAAATTTTTTAATCTTTATGTTCCTTTTTTTCTCAGTACTGAGTTAATGTATTTGAATAATTTTTTTCATTCTTTTTCTTATATGTTTGGCGACACATTTTAATTGATGTTTTCCACACTGATATTTTTCTGAATTATAATTAGTTTAAATTTTAATAAAAGTTTTCTCAGTTTCTAATCGATGATTTTAATTTAAAAAATAAAAAATTAAAAAATAATCGGATTTAATGATTTTCAAGAAAAGGCGTAAAGATAAAGATCGAAAAACATGATTTTGTAGGAGAGCAAAGATTTCAAAGATTTTGACATTATTTTTACATGTTCAATATCTTTTTGGAGACATGTAAAAATCATTTTTGATAACTAAATTATGTATTTTTTCTTGAAAAATAAAATTTGTATTATTTTAAATAAATATAATGTTACTTTATATATATATATATATATATATATATATATATATGTTATGTATATGTGTGATTGCAATATAATATCACAGTCATATACATGTATAATGCTATGAAAAATATTTTATGGAATTGAGAAAGTGACTTACACTTAATTGTAAAACTCATAATAATTTGTTTTTAAGGGAAGAAAGAATATAAAACTATTAAATTATATTCACAAATTATATATATATATAGATGATGTTAGCTAGAAATACTTTAGCAGCACAAAGTGATTGATGTTGTAAATACAAACTGCATTCTCTTCTTTATACATACCACATATGTCTTTGCATATAATTAACACATTCATTGTCATTGTTGAATGTGACCATTTTTGTAAACTACATTTCTCGATGTTAATTATGATTATTATATACCCACTTGTTATTCTCAAAATATATTTTATCTTATTCTATCTATGTGTTTTCCAAATTCTCCTAACTTATAAAGAAAAGTTTGCAATTTATATATGGCATGTATATAATGTTTCTCTATTCAGACTGTCTGGCAGTGAGTGTGTTATACTTTATACAAGACGTTTTAATGTAAGGGTATAATATAATAGTAATTGTTAAATGTAAATAACAATTAAGAAATTAGGATTTATAATGATGGTAACTAAAATTTTCTGGATATGTAAATAATTATAAAATAACGAGACATAGCAATTTAAATTTAAAATAATTTGTTTTATACAATAATTCATATTATATACTATCATGTTTCTGCAGAATTTAAATATGATTAAATATTTAAGAAAAATCTTTTATAAGTAACCCATATATGTATATAATTTTTTTTATTTTGCTATTATAATATGTATAACTCTTTAATAAATATTTTCGCATTTATTTTTTCATGAAACAGACAAGGCAACCCATATTTGTTCAGTTGCTTCATGCAGCTTTTAAAGTATCACAATGTGCATGGTTAAACGCTGGACAAAGATTTAACGTCGAGAATTGTATACGAACATTATCGGATGTAGGTGGGTAGTATTTTTTGAACTTGTAAAAGAAGAAACTTATTTTTTAGAAATTAGTGTTAATTTTTATTTGAATAAAATTTTCTCTCTTGATTTTAGCTAAAGGAAGAGGTATCGCTATACCAACTGATTTGGAAAGCCAAGTAGCTTCTATGTTCAACAAAGCAGCTATGCTCAGCAGACAGACTAGCAAATGGCTACAAGCTGCTAAACAACCAAAAATAGAACGTAGTCAAAGCCAGGTAATTTGTAATTTATTATTCATTATCGAATAGATCATAATAATTATATACTCACATTTAAGTTCCACGAAAGAGCAATTGTGTAATAAATTTACTTAAATGCATAGAGTGACTTACTTTGTATGGAAGGCTCTAATAATGAGGTAAAAGTCACTCACAAAAGTTTAGCATATTTATTAGTCTAGAATTTCTATATGTATATAGCGTGTAATTGTTAATATATTAGTATACTATGTTACATATAGATTTACATATGGACTTCATGTACTTCTGAAGACGTAAATTAATTGTTTGACATAGCTATATATACAATACATTAGATACAAAATGTATAATTACAATTTAATTACATCTAAATATAAAATAAGAATTTATTTAACTAGTAATATCTAATTAGAGTAATTACAAGTAGGAAATCAATTATTTTAATGTGTAATACATTATTGAATATTAGAAATACGTCATGCGAGATATATAGACATTTTATATTTGGAGATTGCATTATTTAAATTTTTGGAAATCGTAAATTAGTTTAAAAAAAATTTCCATAGTGTAGATTGTACGAAAACTCTTTTGTATATACAAGACAACTTGAGTCTTTAAAGATATAGTCCAATTTACTAACCATTTATGTTTTGGTCTAGCTTATGCGTTTAGATCGAAGTATTATCGAAGGTCTGCAAGACATAGTATGTCTATTAGAGGAACAATTGAAGCCATTAGTACAGTCCGAATTATCCTTATTAGTCGATATTCTCTATCGACCGGAATTACTGTTTCCTGCAGCAACTGATGCCAGAAAGAGATGCGAAAATGGTGGCTTTATAAAAAGGTAAAATTCTTAATTTTTAATTTTAGTAATTTAGTATAATACAAATATATTTATGTATCCTTGTTTTGCAGATTAATTAAGCATACTGAAAAGCTGTTAGAAGAAACGGAAGAGAAATTATGCGTGAAAGTTTTGAGGACACTTCGAGAAATGATGGCTATCGATCCTGAGTACGGAGAAAAGGTGAGCGTCGTACAATCATGTCTTGCATGTAGTTATATAAATCATTTTTCATATTAAGGAAGATAACACAGCATCGCGAAAAAAAGGCATTCAGTTCTTTATATATGTATACATAGATAGGTTTATCTAAATAATATAAAAAGTATCTCGGAATACAAACACATTGTTGTATTCCGAGAGAAGATGATTTGATACTCACTTATAAAATTAAAAAATTTTTTACTTTGCTTAAATAATATTTAAATATGTGAATTTACGACGCGTTACTCTTTGTAATGAAGCTGAATGCCTGAGAGTTCACAAGCACATTAGATGATTAAATACGCGATTAAATATTTATTTGGCTTGTTGCATAATTACGAGAGAATAATGTAAAAGTTAATAAGATTTCTCAATATACGCCACACAAAGTCTTAGCTGCGGGTGAGTAGATCTGGTAGAATAGATCTGTAGGTAAAGATGTTTTCATGCTGCGAATGAAGAACGAAGGTATCTCGGAAGAGAAGGAGTCTGAAACGAAGAGCGAGTCACAAGTTGGAACAGATTCCAATGATCAGTCTGAGAATCGACAAATAACTCAGCAAGAGCCGGTAAAAATTAAAGTAGATAGAAAAAAGTGGGCACAACGTATATGAAACGAAATTATTTTAATATGCTGAAAAAGAAAGAATGATGATATTGCGAGATGTAATTTAGGACGCGCGAACAAGAAATAATACTTCTAACACCACTACGACATATTAAATGCATTTTTAAAAATAAGGAAAAATACATCTAGGGTAGTTATTCACCAGAAAAAAAAAGAATCTAATTAACTCATTTTAAACACTTCTCGGTGATGTGCAAATCATAACAAATCTCATAATTTACCTTTCATCTTATAGAGCTAATGAAATAATAAATACTGCTAATAATTATATTTGATTAACTGTTTGAGTTTGTGATGACAATAAGTTGTTGACTAAGTGATTGTTCATTACATGTTATATATACACATATCAAGTCGTAAATGGTGTGGTAAAATTCCGTAAAGTAGAGAATATAATGTACGTTGTGTAGATCTTTCATGCATGTCGCTTAATTTATGCACGTTTATTTATCATCGTTTCTTATTATATATCCATTTATCTCTTACTGTCATTTTTCATCTCGTTTGCAATATTTTACTTTTAAATATAAGACATTTTTATATATAAAAATATATATATATATATATATATATATATATATTCATATATAAAACTTTATTTTGAGAAAATAATATATAACTATATATATATATATATATATATATATTGTATTTCTTAATCTTTTATTATAGAAGAATGAAAATATAATAAAGTTTTTATACATAGAAATAGATTTAATTGTATATAAATTATATAGTAAGATGTACCAATACAATATAATATAGATTTTAACATCTTATAATGAATACACATTGACTCTAATGATATGATTACTCTTACTTATATATATACACACATACACATCTCATATATTTCATTTTTAATTATCTTAGATTGGAATCGTAAATGTGTGATATTTTGAATATTGTGAATTTTATTTTCCTTGGTTTTTCCTTTCCAATAACATGAATGTTATTGTTAGATATATTGTTAGTATATTGAATTATATTAAACATTTCATAATAGAGGTATCGACACTTATTATAAAAAAAGTGATCCGATTGAAATATTGAAATAAAGATATCAGGGAATTAATTGACCAACACTGGCTAAGGTGAAAAATATTTTATTGAAAAAGACGCAACGTTTCGACCCCGAATTGGGTCCTCTTCAGGCTATAAATTAAATTATAAATCTCAGTTAAAATAATTAAAATGATAGTAAAAATCGAATACGGAAAATCATACATATAATAGTGTTAAAAAATACCTGTTACAAGTAAGTGGTAAAAACTAAATGATCATAATGTCCGTTTTTTTGTAAACGATCAGAACATGACAAGATATCAATAATAAACGAACCGAAGTGCTCACTCTGACATATAACATTAAATTAAAACGAACAAAGACAATATCTCGAATAAATAATACAATTAAAAAGAGAAATACAAGTCGACCAAATAAAAAAATTAAATAAGCAAAAAATATATAAACAAAAGGACAGTTCTAAAACACTTCATAGGTGATAAAAACAAATTATATATAAACTCTATTTAGATAAAAACGAAAATAAAATAAAAAGGAGAAATTAAAAATTAATAAAATAAATACCGATATCTAAAATAAATTCAAAATAGTATCATATGTTACATATCATTTAAGTTTTCTGTGTCCCTTTGCAAATCAATTAATTCCCTGGTAAACTTATTATAATGTATTGAATTATTATCGTATGTATAATATCCAAAATATGTGTGCTGCTATTATTCATCTTTGCGTGCTTTACACCTTTATATATAATCTCTTACACCTTTATATTATATATAAACTATTATCTATCTAAACATAAATTTAACTTGTATCGAAATCTTCGATCTCTATATGATTTTTACCAATTATTAATGTACAAATATGTGAATGGTGGTTTGCATTATTCAACAATATTAATATACACGTTAACTTCATTTTTATCCTCTCTCACATGTTGCACTTTAATTATCATATATTTCTTTTTTCGGGTTATATAATACAAATTTTACATCAATAATATATGGAAATTTTCTACACGCATCCTAAATTGCACTAGTATTTCTTATCCACTTTTAAGCACATTGAAGCACTGATTATGTAAATAATGATTGAAATTTATACATATTTCATATTTATGATAAAATATGTTTGTGAATATATAAAGAGAATATCTGTAATGTGTACTAAAAAACTTTCCTTTTTTTTATTAATGTTGTGCACTATATGTATTGGTACATCATTTTAATTTCAAATATACAGTGGAATGTTGACGTAAAGTATCCCCTTTTTCCGCAGGGAGATGTATTGAGAAATAATCTTCTGGCGCGTTACTTTGGCAAAGGTTTTATACAAAAACCGGAAAATGTCGATATCGGAGTATCCCGTAGCGCGACTATCACCCATGGTCCAGGAGGTAAAAAAAATGTCATAAAATATTTATTTATCAGATAGATTTTATTAGTTTCGGAATGTCTTACAAAGGGAAGTGGATTGCTAATTTACAGCAAAGATATTAAGCCGAGCTGGCAGAACATTACACGAAGTGCAAACCCATCTTGATCGCGAGGGAACTTCGGATTTAGTGGTAGAATTGGTGATTAAGAGTGTGCATTCCCCGAGTATATTCGTAGAAGCTGTGGAATTGGGTATCGCCTTATTAGAAGGTGGCAATCCCATCATACAAAAGAGTATGTTTAATAAACTGATGGGCGGCGATTTGAGTCAATCGTTTTTCAAGGTAATATCTCATTACTATGATATAAACAAATATATGTAGTGTTGTGCTTAGATGATTTTAAAATTAATTAGATAAAGATGAGATAAAAATGTGTAAATTCATCTTAGATAAGATAAAGATAATTTTGTTTTAAATATATTTGGATAAAAGATAAAATGATATGGTGATTCGTCTAGATAATTTTCTAGATAATAATTTTTAAGACTGCTTATGTAAACACAGTTATAAAAAAAATGTAAATAGATATAAAAATATATGTATTCATATTTTTATTTATAAATTTTTATCACTTACTATTTAAGTCCTATTATTTAAGTATTTTTATGTACTATGATTCTAAACCAAAATTATCTGAAAATTATTCTAGATAATTTAGTAAAGATAATACTTTTTAAATTTAAGATACAAATATGGATAACACATATTTTTATTATCTATATAAAGATAAGATAACGCCAAAGTATTATTTAGATGATCATCTATGTAATTTTATTTAGATAACAGCAAACACTGAATATATACAGCGATGAGTTCATGGTTTTATTCTTTCCCTAGGTATTTTACGATAAAATGAAGGATTCTCAGCAAGAGATTAAATCCACCGTGACAGTAAATACATCTGATATGGCGGTTAAAGCACACGAGGATAAAGATGGTAAAGAGGTAGACAAGCTGTCGCGAAAACGCAGCTCAGGTATAAGATAAAATAAATTATTGCAAACTATTACGTTTCCTTTAATTTAATATACTCAATAGAACAATATATTCGAAAGATATTCAGAGGATATCCAGGATATATTCGAACATCCTCAGGATGTTCTCTGAACGTCTTCGGGATATATGTGCTGTTAGGGTCGTCGATTTAAGGATATGTATAAGTTAATGAGTTAAAATTATACGCCATAGATTTTCATTGCATAAGCATTTTATGTATAGGGAAGCCCAATGGAATGGTGATAACCGAAGAGCTTCGCGAGGAATTGAATCAGGTGTCCAATGCACAAGCATACATGCAGAACGGTCTTGCGCCTGGCGAAGACGCAGCTAATAATGTATTGGAGGATATGGCTGAAAAGTTGGACAGAAACAAAAGCGGCAACGCGTCCGACACCGAGAAGGACGAGGGTCAATTGAGCCCTAAAGTTTTGGTGATGCAACCGATTCTACGCTTCTTGCAGCTACTTTGCGAGAATCACAACAGAGAATTACAGGTGCTAACGTCCATCCGAAATTTATATGTTTAGTATTCTGATACATTCTGATATTTTAATAAATTATTTTCATTGCTCTCACATGTAGAATTTCCTACGGAATCAAAATAATAAGACAAATTTCAATCTGGTGTCTGAGACGCTCATGTTTTTGGACTGCATTTGCGGTTCTACCACCGGTGGATTGGGTCTCCTTGGCTTGTACATCAACGAGTACAATGTAGCGCTGATCAATCAAACTTTGGAAACATTGACGGAATACTGTCAAGGACCGTGTCACGATAATCAAAACTGCATCGCCACGCATGAGTCCAACGGTTTAGATATTATAACGGCATTGATACTGAACGATATCAATCCTTTGGAAAAGACCAGAATGGATCTGGTATTGGAATTAAAGAATAATGCAAGTAAATTACTGCTGGCGATTATGGAGAGCAGAGGTGACAGCGAAAACGCCGAGAGGATCATGTACAATATGAATCCGAAACAGCTCGTTGATGTGGCGTGCAAGGCTTTCCATCAGGAATCGCTGGATGACACCGGCGACGTCGACGACACCTCGACAAACGGAGAGGAAGGAGTATCGCCCAAAGAGGTGAGGAAATGTGTAACGCAGATATTTTATTGATTTTTTTGCGATTTTAGTAAATTTAAAAAGATCATCTACTTTATTTTTTTTCAGGTTGGACATAATATTTACATCTTGTGCCATCAATTAGCGCAGCACAATAAAGAACTGGCAGTGATACTGAAACCATCGGAGCAGAATAATGCGGATCCAAAAATTAATAAAGCGTTACAATACTATGCATCTCATACAGCTCAAATAGAGGTACTATAGTTTTGTATATATAAATTAAAATAGTTTTAATTTTTAAAGAGAAAGAGAGAGAAAGATCAATAAAATATTTTTACGTTTTAGATTGTGAGACACGATAGAACACTCGAACAAATTGTCTTTCCGATTCCGGAGATCTGCGAACTTATAACTGTCGATACAAAAATAAGAGTACTGAACACTACGGAACGAGATGATCAAGGGTCGAAAGTTTCCGATTTCTTCGAAAGGACAGAAGACATGTTTAATGAGATGAAATGGCAAAAAAAGCTTAGAGGTATGTCTATTGATTAAAACATATAAATTTAGATAGTAATAACATTCCTAATAATAAATCGATTGTAACTTACAGGGCAATCAATGTTGTTTTGGATGAGCAGTTATATGTCATTATGGAGTAACATTTTATTCAATTGTGCCGTTCTTATAAATCTGATCGTAGCCTTTTTCTATCCGTTTGTGGATTCTGTGCCTAGTGAGTTTGCAATTAAGAGAGTTGAATTTCTTAAATTGTCTCGATACATAACACGATACTTATTTGTTCTCTATTTGTAGAACTCAGTTATCATTTATCAGCTTTAATTTGGACAGTTATGCTTGCATCTGCTGCTATCGTTATTACTTTACCAAGGGAATCCGGTATACGTACGTTAGTTGCATCAACGATATTGCGATTGATTTTCTCTGTAGGTCCAGAACCAACGTTATGGTTGCTCGGTTTTGTTACGGTAAATATAATAAAGCTTATATGTGTATATATATATAGTGATTTTAAATATCTATTTTTAAATATGTATTACTTGTATTGCAGATTACATTAAAAAGTGTACATCTTATAAGTATTATGGGTAATCAGGGTACCCTGACTAAAAGTGTAGAGCAAATAATAACTAATATCGAATTTTTATATCACATATTGTATTTAATATTCTGCGTTCTGGGGATTTTTATGCATCCATTTTTCTATTCAGTTTTAGTAAGTGACAAAAAATTTAATGAATTGTTTTTTTTTACTCTTTTTCAAATTGTAACATTGTCGTTTTCTTTTAGCTCTTTGATGTGGTTTACCGCGAGGAGACTTTGCTCAATGTAATAAAATCTGTAACTCGAAATGGAAGATCTATCATACTCACTGCTGTCTTAGCTTTGATTTTAGTGTACATGTTTTCCATCATTGGTTTTATGTTCTTTAAAGACGATTTCCTCGTTCCTGTGGATGAGGAAATTATATGTAAGTTTAATCCTTTGGTATGATACATAAATTTATATAAATCTTTTCTTAATTTTAATAAATATAATAACAATATTTATTCGATTTATAGCTTCCATTGAACAGAAAGTTGCAGATACTTGTAGCATTGGTGACAAGGAAAAGTGCGAAGTAACAGAAACTATATCACAATATGCTCGTGAAGGTAGATATATCGCAATTGATATACTTTTTTCTTTGAATATGTAAAAATAATATTTATTGTGAAATAATTCTTCTAATAATTCAGCAAATGAACAAGAAAGTAAAGCTGAAGTGATAAGCGTCGGCGGAGAATTAAAGGAACGTACTTGTGATTCACTCATTATGTGTATAGTCACCACGTTAAATCAAGGATTGAGGAATGGTGGTGGTATCGGGGATATTTTACGAGCACCATCCAGCGTTGTAAGTATACGGGATTATTGCAAAAATATAATGAAATATATATTTATTTTATATGCAATAATTTTATTATCTTTTAGGAACCTTTATTTGTTGCAAGAGTTGTCTATGATTTGCTATTCTTCTTCATTGTAATAATTATCGTTTTGAATCTCATCTTTGGTGTGATTATCGATACATTTGCGGATCTTAGATCAGAGAAGCAGCAGAAGGAATTGATTTTGAAAAATACTTGTTTCATTTGCGGCAAGTATCTATTTTATTATATTATATTATTTGTTTTGCATTTTTTATACTTTTATTTTTTTCGCATATCATATAGGATATATCTTACAGGTATTTAAATATTCTCTATTTTTTTATAGGTTTGAATAGATCGGCTTTCGATAACAAAACAGTTTCCTTTGAGGAACACATAAAGCATGAGCATAATATGTGGCATTATCTCTACTTCATTGTGTTAGTGAAGGTGAAGGATCCGACAGAATTTACAGGGCCGGAATCATACGTTTACTCTATGGTTAAGGTAATAGTTCATAGAGCTTGAAAAATTTGGGCGATGCTTATGTCTTTAAGCTCTATGTACTTTCACAGGATCGAAATCTGGAATGGTTCCCGAGATTGCGGGCCAAATCACTGGCAGCGGACGAAGGTGAAGGTGAGCAAGTGGAATTGAGAAGTTTACAATCGCAATTAGAATCTACGCAGCAGTTAGTTAAATGTTTGTCGCAACAACTGATGGAGCTTCGTGATCAGGTACGTCAATTGTGAAAATATTCTTTAAATTTTATTTCTTACATTAACAAAAAATTATTTAAGCAATATTCAAATACAAATTTAATATATTACATATATATTTTTATATAATATTTATATTTTATATTTTTCTATAATTTATATACAATATATATATATATATATATATATATATATATATCATATATTTTTTGTTTTATTTTGTTTTAAAAGATGACGGAGCAACGAAAGCAAAAGCAGCGACTGGGACTTTGAATTCTGCCTCTGCAGTTTTACATAATATATCTACGTAAACTTAAGGCACATCTTTTGCAGTTTGCGTCTTATTCCGGACGAATCTCAGTTTGATACTCCAAGATATAATATGTATGTAGCGATCATCATGTGTTCTAAACACGCATTTAAAGACACGAAAATGTATCGAGTGGATAACCCGAGGCATTTTTACGGTTTTGTTCCTAATTTTAATGAAAGTAAAATACACCTAGGGCATTAAACATTATCATTCTCCTTTCTATCATATAAGCTCTCAACCCAGTTTATCAGTTAGCCATAAAGGAATCTGTATGTATCGTAAATTGCATTGTTTACCAATGTATAAATTGTTACACAAATAGAAGAATTAAGCGTATCCATATAAAAGAGATTAATATAAAAAAACAAATTATATTTAAAATTTCCACTTGTTGGAAATTTTAAAATGTCATAAAGTAATATTCTAATGTGTTTTAGAATATTCTTTTTTTATGGGATCAATCCATTATGTTTTAGCTATATTATTATAATATTTATATATATCCATGTGTGGATATATTAAATAAAAGATACATTAAATAAATTATAGTATCAACACTTTACAACAGTTACGAACTTTATATATATTTCTATTTTATGTTATTAAAGCCATATGGTTGTGTTTATACGAATTTTGTTTTCGTAAATTATAAAGATTTTTTAAAATAAAATATATAATTAAAAATATGTTTATAAATACATTTGTAAAACTATGTACAAACTTTCTGTATTATATATATTTAATTTTAATATATATACATGTGTATGTGTATGGATATTATGTATATCTTTGTTTATTTGAAAATAATTCTCGGTATCGCATTCTTTGTGATTATACACATAATCGATTATTTCTTACTTCGTATATGTAAATAGGTTTAATAAAATACACAAACACACACACAAATTGTTCAAAACATATATATATATATATATATATATATATATATATATATATATCTTAGCAAAAGTGAATAATTTAATTTTGCAATAACGCGCTCAAAAACTTTCAATTCTATAAAAATTACTGAAATTTATATAATATGATTTATGTGTAATGACATTGTTAATGTCAATTTGCGGCCAAAAAATGTATGTGCAAATTAAAATTTGTACCTGCCAATAAGCATGATATCATTTATTCTGTTGTTTATAAAGACTTATTATGATTGCGATATCACGATATTATCAATATAATTAACAAAAACACGATAATTAATAGGGATCAATTGACTATGTCGTAATATAGGTCAAATTTTTTGAAATTTTAGATATTCTAATGGACGAGTTTCAAAATGTTGATGTCCACTTATTCATTGTTAATATATAATATGATAGTTGATTATATAAATTTTAAACAAGTTGTGTTATTTTTAATGTATATAGGTACATGACACCTGAACATTGCGTTGTATGTTATTATGGAGATTTAACTCATGTCTTTAAATAATGAGATTTTTGTGTCTATATATACAGAGTTATATTATATAATATATATACTTTATATTTCTTTTTAATGTAATATGGAAAAAAGGATTACAGAATGTATATATATTTTATTAGATCTTAAAATTGTTTAAAGATAAAATGATGTCTTTTAGATGATTTAGATTATATAGAAACATTCTTCGTATCCTATTATATTAATCTCCTCCATATTTTCCTTGTTTTATGGTCAGATATAGCAGATATTGTACTGTCAGATCTTTAAATGAATTCAATAAGTAATACCTCTTGAGATATGTTTCTAATATCTGTTACTTCTACTATTGTGCGGACTTATATAGTATATATGTATAGTTATACATTATGGATGTAGATTGCATTCTTACTTACATGTGAATAAATTATGTTTATTTCTTAATCAAGTTATTTATTGAATATTCTTATATTCCTAATATATATGTATGTATATATTTTTCTGGCATCTCTATTTAGATCGATTATTTAAAGCACGTTATTTATTATATTATTTCCATGATCATATATTGTTTGCAAATTTATCTATAATTACTTTAATTAATTTTTCAATAAATTTTTATTTCATATTAATATTAAACAATATGTTTTGATGTGTTATCTTTATGTGAGTTTGTGTGCGCGCGCGCATATATGCGTGGGCGCGTGTGCGTGTATAGGCGTGTGTATATGTGTGCGTGAGTGTGTATGTGTAATCGCTTATATATATGTATATGCATGTTATGATTCTGATAAAATAATTGTCTTTAGTTTAGGGTAAAGAAAAGTTAGGTAAAAGAGTGGTTTCAAAAAACTGAAATGGGTCGTGAAAAGAGGAATAAAATTGGTGAGTTTAAAGTTTCTTTAAAATCACGTTTCAGCAGTCGACTTATCGAATAGATATAATAATCTAAATACATACCGCTTCGCAAAAATACTTGTTCTGTGTTATTATTATATATATTGTAGTCAAATGAAAGTATATCCCAAGTAGAACAGAAAAATAATGTCAATTTGACGTCATCTTAACTAAATTTGAACTCCAAATTTGATCATATGACGTCAAAATGATATTATGATTTTGATTTTCTGTTCTACTTGAGCTGTTTCGAATTTAGTGACTACTATGTGGCAAGTCTTGAAAGTTAGATTCAAACAGTGTAGACTCAACTACTACTATAATTGTCAAAAAATTGCTTAATTAATTTTATTTTAGGAAATTGTTTCGCGTTTTAGTATACATGCACATAAAAAGTATTTAATTTATGACATAAACTCGTCAGCATAAATGACAAAAACTATAATTGCGTAACTGTTATTGATATTAAATAAAATTTCTTTATATTTATAAATATTAAATATTAGTAATGAGTTTCAATAATAATTTTGCTCAATTTCGAATTTTGCTTTTACTCTATTTGTTAAAAAAACGAGTAAAATAAATAAATATTGTTTTTAAGAAATAAGTAAAATACCGTTTTTTTGAGTTAAATATACATATATTAAACAAATTTAAATATAGCCATATTAGTAAACATATAAGAATATATATATCTGTAAATCCTTTTTTCATTTTTTCTTTTGATTGTCATTATATATAAGATGTACTATATTGCACGTTCATTTTATATCCATTTTACCTCTGCACATCCATGGACATGAAATGAACGTCCACTTTATATCCGATTTCGGACATCCATCAGTGATTAATATTTGGACGTCCACGGGATGTCCACCAAATTATATTTGTATTCTATTCAAATTATATAGTAATCTCTTACAGCACGAATATTGCTAAAATATTGCATAAATATTTCATTTCATTGTGTCATTATAAATATTGAAGCAACATTGTGCAAATATTATGAATTTAATATTTTATTGGAGACATTGCAAAATATACTCCAATATTATCTTGTAATAGTTTCTTATTCATTTGCCGCTATGCGACGCAAGATGCGCTGTCTACATTATTATTAAATATAGTTATGAGAATTATAAAGCGCATGCAAAAAGCGGCTATTACAGTTAAATATGTTATAATTATTTTGATGAGTTTAACTATTCTGATACGATCCCAACACAAGGAATTTAGATATTGAATTAATTGAAGAAATCGGACAGATAAATATTCGGATAAATAAAATTCGAAAATAAGAAATATTCTGCAATATTTTATGAATAGTATAAAAATGAATTAATTTTGCATTCCAAATTTATTATTGCTCATAAATTTCTTCTTTATGAATTTTAAATGTCATTTTCAACGATATACATTGTAACCGTTTATTATTTTATACAGTCGGATAGATAATGATCCGAGAAATAGGGCCGATGTAAGTGGCCGACGGCACACCTTCGGCGCGGAAAGCGGGAAATTCGCGAAGACACATATTAGACATCGAAGATACGTATTTACTAGTTCCAATACACATCTCTCACAGGAAGTTTCTTAGATTCCAGGCGCGTGTTAATCTACGAGTTTGCAGTATTTCCCTTCGGTCTCTCCACTGCACCATTTATTTTTACCAAAATTCTGCGTTCAGTCACTTCTTTTCTTCGAGAAGAAGTTATGAATCCATCATTTATTTGAACGACTTTTTGCTTTTAAGATCGTCTATAGATTCTTGTAGTGATAATGTTCAGGCTCATATTAACTTATTGTCTGCCTTAGGCTTTATAATTAATTTCAGTAAATCAAAGTTAATATCATCTAAAAGAAGAAATACCTCGGCTTCAAAACTTCTCAAGATAATCCTTGATTTTTCTTCAAAATCTCATTGTTCTATTCGAGATTTTGCAGAATAATTGGCTCACTTGTCTCAACTTATCCAGCCGTTCGTTACAGATTCATTTACACTAAATTATTTGAAAGAGTTAAATATCTTGCTTTGTTAAAATCGAATGGTATTTTCTCTGCAAATTTTTTCATCCCGCCTTTTCTTCAAGAGGATTTTCAGTGGTTGCGCAGTGTTTTATCTAACCCACTTCAAGCTAATGTTATATGCACGGGTCGATTCTCTTTAGAAATTTTTTCTGATACTTCTTTAACAGGCTGGGGTGCCTCTTGCGGATCTTTACGCTCACATGGCTGGTGGTCTGAAGATGACAAAGCTCTTCATATTAACGCTTTTGGACTCAAAGCGGCTTTTTTCGCTCTCAAATGTTTTGCAGCTAATCTACTTAATTGTGAAATACTTCTTAGGATTGACAACACAACAACTCTCTCATATATTAATCGTTTTGGTTCAGTTCAACATCGACTTTTTTCATCCATCTCCAGAGATATTTGGCAATGGTGTAAAAATAGAAACGATAAAAATTAATTTCGTTCGCCAGGAATGAAAAATCCTTCTGTCCTGCATAAAGAAAATATAGAAGAAAAAAGGGAAATTGCCGAGATGTATTTTATTAAGAAATTAAATTCCACAATTAATTTACAAAAAGACACAGAAAGTTTTAGCACTACGTATGATTGTTTGTTTAGAAATTGATGTAACCTTCGACATATTTACCTTGGCGATGTTATTAATTTTAGTACAGTGTGTTCTGTCAAAGTATGAAGACAAAACGTAACTCGATATGTAATTTTATTATTGTGACATAAGCTAATTCTCTCCGAATCATAATTAGCTCTTATATCTTAAAGACAAAATGCTGTAACTCATTGTAAGTCTCAAATTTGCAGTTCCCGTTTCGTTTTAATTAAAGTGTCTGATTGTATTTATATGTTTTAGAAAGTTCTAATTGTATTTTTGAAAAGACCACAACTCACATGGTCGAAACGTCAAAATAAATATATATTAACAACGCTAATTGAGGCCAGTGTTGTCAGATTAAATCTATAACCTCAGTGAAAATAGAAACATTTTTCTTTATGCTTCTAACATCGCTTCGGTGAAAATGTTATTACTGATTATGAGTCCCGTCGTCCTGATGCTGACACGGAATGATCACTTTTTCCCAAGGTTTTTAACTTTATCTTGGAAAAATTTGGTCTTTTCGACGTTGATTTTTTTGCTTCGCTTCTCAATGCTAAGTACGATCTGTACGTCTTCTGGATTCCAGACCCAGGCTTCTTTGCCGTCGATGCTTTTACTTTATCTTAGGAAAATTTTTAGTTCTATGCTTTCCCTCCTTTCATTCTTATACCGAAAGTTTTACGGATTATTAATAATGAAGCGGAAGGAATTTTGATTGTCCCCTGGTGGCCTTCACAATCTTGGTTCCCTCTCTTTCAACGCTTTTTAGCTTTAGAACTTCTTATATTACATCCTTCTAAATCTCTTCTTTCTTCTCCTCTTAGGAACCATCATCCCTCCTACAAGACACTTTTCCTGGGAGCATCGAAATTATCAGGGAAGCGTTTAGAAACCGCAAAGTACCGGATTCATTGTAGACGCATTATTAGCATCCCTCGCCTCATCAATTCTGAAACAATATTCACGATCTCTTCATGATTGGTGGAATTTTTGCCAAATACGAGACCTTTCCTCTTGAAAAAATCATCAAGAAACTGATCCTTCTCCTCGCTCTCGGTTCGGGACAATGCTGTCAACTCTCGCTAATTCCTTTATTTCCTTTTCCGTCAATAAGATGGTTATCAGAGTTCCAGATCGTATTAAGACTTCCGCTCCGGATCATTTTCAACCTCTTTTGTTTCTTTCTCGCGTTTTAATGAGCGTATTAATCTTTGCATTGTTGGTTTACTAGAACATTACTTATACCGAACAGTTGAACTTCGTTCAAAAGATTCTGACTCTCTTTTCATCTCCTTCAAATTCTTCACAAATCTGTTGGGATACAAATCATTAGTAGATGGATTCGCGAGACTTTAATCGACTGTGGGGTTAATAATTCTTTCTCAGCTCATAGCACACGTCATGCATCGACTTCTTTCACGGCCAAAAAGGCATTTCTATAGACTTAATTAAGAGAATGGCGGGTTGGTCCGCCGATTCTCAAATTTTCGCTAAATTTTATAACCATTGACCAATTGTTAACCCCGACGCGTTTTCAAATGCAATATATTAAATTAACTTTGTACTTGTTCACGTTTTTTAAATATATTTTCTTTTATGACTGCATCTGCTGGTCTCTCTTGTAATGTTTATTTATATAAAAAACCAGTTTTTTTCAGATATTATCCGGGTATTTTATCCGGGCGAGACCCCCGGCATAATTTAATGATTAAACAAACTTACCAAGTGAAGTTCGATCATAATTATGCGGGGGTCTCGTCCGGATGAACCTCCCTCCCTTTGTTAAAATCTTTTTCCCTCCCCTATGTTTTCTTGCGATTTGTTTTTAGATTTGAACTTTGAAACCCGTTGTTATGTACGCCCGGCGCCTACTACGATCGGATGTTTCGAAATCTGAACGTTGTTGTGGATGCGCGCTAAAGGCACGACTACATTGTATTTCATCCGGACGAGACCTCCGGCATAATGAGAATTTGCGAAGTTTATGTATTGTATCGATTTTCGTAATCCACGGGTCTATGGTTCCGCGCGCGCGCCGCATTCCGATCCGATCACGCATTATTCGCGTGACGCGAAAAAGCCCGGCCGTGTTTATCACGCGGCCGATTATAATATCGGGTTTTGAGAAGTCTCGTCATTGCCTAGGGGAAATGCCCATAGAGAGATGTTCGTAAAGTACCGGAGGACTATTCGTCCTTATATCCGCCGTTTCGTACGATGTATCTAATGTTATATTTATTATATCTTTATATTGTCCACTGTATGTAATGTGTCTATGTAATTGTCTTAATATTGTTAAAATACATTGTTATATATTTTATTAGCCCAATCTCTGTGTTCTAATTAAAATCTCCTTTCCAGAATCTCTGAAACAATATTCGTGAACCGCGGCCCTCTGCCAAATACTCAGCAGGGCGTAGCCGGAGAATTTACGATTTCTGAACGAATTCTGATACCGTGGCGCGCGGAATCGCTCCTGGCGCCCAAATTTTTAGAATTGTCGTAAATACCGATATTCGGATACCGTTAGTTACCTTTCGAATATTACCTTTTTCTGTTCTGGCCGACTTGCTCGAGGCCGGCGAATTAACGTCGCACAGTACATATAATTTAAAAAAAATAGATAATATATTTAGGTGTATTTAACATTTAACAAGCATATTTATATATTTATATATTATTTATATATTGATTAATTTGTATTATTATATTATATTTAACAGTAAAATTTATTGTAATATTATATGGTTATTTTTTTGTTTTGTGATTATACTAGTATAATATATAGTTTAACTACTTCAAGCAATTTGCAAAAATATAAAAAACTTGAGGCAAACGGTCATAAAATTTAGTAAATATAGAGGCATCGAATAGTAACGCATCTATATAAACAATAATTGAAGCAGTAAAAGAAATAGTACATACAATATAAAAAATTATTCATGTGAAATACATTCACCTATGCATAGCTGCAATTTTTTTTATTTCTATCATTGATTAAAACGGATGCTTTCATAAAATTGTATCTGTCTGTTGATTTGATTGTTGCGAATTAATATCTTCCTTTTAATTCTGTCAAAATTCTGCGTTGCGAGATCCTAATATATAAAAACAATGAATTGCATAATGAAATCAATATACTGTTTATATAATAAATAAAAAAATATAAAATTAATATTTCGAGATTAATAAGATAGAACAAAATTTTTTTTCTTTCGCTTTCCATAATAATATTTATTAAAATATAAAATGTGTTAATAAACCGACCACAACTGGCAATGTTATTATTTAGTTATTTATTCAAATTCAGACACAACGTTTTAACCTTAGTTCAGGTCCTTATCAAGTCTACAATCAAAAAGTAACAATTATAAATGTTGATAAATTAATAATAAGAAACACATTTTTAAAAAATGATAAATTGCGTAAACCAATGTATATAAATAAATTAAATAAAAACATACCTGCTAAGAAATAAATTGACAAACTTCTACAAAATAAAATTCATACTAAAATTCATCCTATGTTTTGTTGGACATTAACGTCGTGATATTAGAAAACAAACTAACTAAGCAGTCTTAATAACCAAATCATATATACTATATAAGATTTAAATTCTCTGTGTCTTTCTGAAGGTTGATCGTGTTGTTAAATTTTTTAATGTAGAACATTTCTGCTAACTCTCTTTTTTCTCGTATGTATTTCCCGATGTAAAATATTAAAGGTTGTCCATTTAAAGTCGTGTAAAAATTCACTTCTATGTTTGCTTATTACGTTATGGTTATTATTGTGCACTTTTATGTTATTCATGTGTTCCTTTATACGAGTATTTAAATGTCTTTTAGTCTGTCCGATGTATGTAGCGTTGCAGTCATTGCAGTCAAGTCTATAAACAACCTCAGTCATCTCCGCTTTGGGAAGTTTGTCTTTTCCTCTTTTTATTACATAATCTAATTTCTTTGGTATCGTATAGATAACATTTAAGCCTGCTTTTACAATAGATCGCTCGATAGTATTACTAAAATTCTTGATATACGGCATTGGAATACAATTTGAAATATCAAATTCTTTATTATTTTGTATTTATCCCCCACGACGTAGGATTTTTTAAGAAAACAAACTCTCTTGTGTAAAAAACGTCCTATAATTGCGTTGGGAAAACAATTATTAGATAAATTCTTTTGACTATATATAAGTTTTTATTATGGAAACTATCATCAGATAACAAAATAGCATGATCAACTAAGTTATTAATAATTTTATACTTAAATGGGTGATTCGAATAAAAGTTTAAATGTCTACCAGAAGATGTGGGTTTCTGGTACCTATTTGTTAAAGTTTCCCGTTGTTTCTAATAACCGTTGTGTTTAGAAAATTCATCATATTATTTGTTTCAATCTCATAAGTAAATTGTAAACGTTGATGATAATTATTGAATGTAGTCAGGATATTATCAATCTCAGAACGTGGAATTATTGCAAAAATGTCATCAACATACCTATAATAAACTGAAACCTTACATTGTAAAGCGTTTAAAACATTTCGTTTCGAGATTTGTCATAACTAAATCAGCCAAAATAGGTGAAAGGGGGGAGCTCATTCAGGTACCATGAATCTGTTCGTAAAATTGATCATTAAACAAAAACTTGTAGACTCTAAAAGAACTTCAACTCCATATAAAATTGTGAGCTAAACTGGTGTTACCAGAAATGTCCGTCCAACGTTTTTCAATTGATTTTAAAACTAAGTCTGTAGGAATATTTGTGAACAAAGAAGTACATCAAGTGAAATCAACATTTCACTATCGTCAATATTAAAGTTCTTAATTTTATTCACAAAATTCCAACCATTTTTAATGTGGGAAGCAGGTTTCAAGACTGACTTTTTCTAAAATATCGTGCAAAAAACGTGCTATATGTTGAGATTCGCATTCTCTTTCTATTATATTGTATCCTATTCTGATTATATATTGTTTTCGATCTTCGCGCGTTTCAGTACAAAATATGTTTACTGTCGTTGTCCGTGCTGACGCGCTTTTGCTCTTCCATTTATATGGTCATGATTCTCAATTACTCTCCCCATTCTTGTCCGAAAGTCGTCGTGATATATACACGTTCACCAAAGGTCTAATAAAGTTTGTTACTTATACGATCGGACTATTGATTAATTCTTCAAGCAATTTCGTGCTCCCCATTATCCTGCGCCAACACTATATTGTAAGCTGGACTCCCAATTGACGAGACAATAATTCGTAAAGGAACATTAACTTTATGTATTTTCGGTAAACCGTATGCACGTGGAAGATTACCGTTAGTGGTGTTAAGTCTTTTATATGTTACGTCGTCAATCAATTTATTATCACGCCATGATTTAATTAAAGAATTCATTCTATTAGATAGTTTTTTAATCGGATCTTTTTTCAGTTTATTATAAGTTGATTGATCGTTAAGAGAAACATTCATTTTTTCAATATAATCTTTCCTATCTAAAATTACCGTCGTTTGTCCTTTATCCGCTTTTGTAATTAAATATCATCATTGTCGCGTATAAACTTATTACATTCCTTCGAGATATTAATGATGTGTCTATCTATGAAGCTAGTGTGTTTCTTTCTACTGAGAAATCCATTACCGCTTTTGTAACTTCGTTTCGAGTTGATTTTAATAAGTCCTTAGGGATTTTAAAACAATTAGTTTCTAAATTATTAGTAACATCTAAAACAGTATTAATGCGGTCAACTTTGTTATTCTGTAAAACAGGCATGCCAAATTTCAATTTCTCACCTAAGCTTAAAAAATCTAGAGTATTTTCAGGAATAACTGTATTACTAAAGTTTCTAACCCATTTTGATCTGTCAATCATACTAAAAGGGTTAACATTAACTCTATTGCTTCGAATTAAATTATTAAACTTTTTTATAGCATTATACTTTTTTGTTTGATTAAAATTACGTAGTTTATGATGATTAGATTCAAAGAATCTATCAATTAAAAACCGTGGTAAACTGCCATATAATCTTTCTTCGATAAAATGTAACATGAATGTAAATATTTAAGTTACAATTTAGATCTTTAATTTCAAAGTTTAATAATCTAAATTTTGTTTGTTTAACATAATCGTCAAAACGATCGGTTGTGGTCGGTTTAACACATTTTATATTTTTAATTCACTGGCGACTCATAAATTACTCGTAATATTTATTAGATTTACCTTTTCTACGTGACAACTAATAAATAAATTTGTTGTATTATTAATTATATTAATTATGTCTGCTAAGTCCGTTTTCCATCTTTCAACGAATTCTTCTATTAACTAAAATGTTTTATTTTTTTAACATTATTAATAAATAACGTTTTTGTAACATTATAACATTATCAAATTATTTTAAACATTATATAATAATTATTAATATTGCATTATTATCATATTTTGTGAACATTATAAACATGTAAATTTTTACCTTAGTTTGATTTACGGAATATACGTTATTAATAATAATAATTAATGCTGCAGGTATAGTAACAAGTCTAAAACCGATAAAACAGATGTATATATAATACACATCAAAACTTTTGTACAAATATTTATAAAAATATGGCACATTACTTTGGTTTTTTTTCTTTAAAATAACTTAATAAATGCTCCAGTATATTTTGATTCTTCGCATGCTTTGTAATAATATGTAAGAAACTGTTAAAAAATTTGGATATTTATTTTGTGTAGAAATACTTTGTTTTAATGTTAAATATGATTTGATGCGATTAGTATCTTCAGTGCAAGCCAAGTATTCTAAAAATTTAGTGTCATTTTTTTTCAAACCTATCACATACACAATTTCCCAAGTATTCTCTTTTTCGGGAGTTATCATCAAACCTTTACAATATGTCCATTCCTTCCACCATGGCATAAGTCTGAAATAAAAAGAAAATTAAATTTTCCTATTAAAATTAGCATATAGATCTCTCGATTAAACCATTTGAACATTATAGAGGATATCAATAAGAAAATTTAATTAAGAAAGCGTAAAAGTATATAATAATATTTACCTGTATGTTTTAGGTTGTTCGCAATGTTGTTTTAATTTCATGTTGGCTACTTTCATACAAGTAATGTCACCGAGAAAACATGCCCATCTTGCAGCTTCTTGTCGTAAACATATTCTAAGTTGGTCTGTATCATTAATTTCTTCATATTTGATTCTTTCAAGTACCCTGATTAATGCCAACTTTATGCAATTCTAAAAATCGTTAAATATATATTTCTTTGTTTATATTATAAATGTATATAAAAATCATTATATTTTCTATTATTTTCCAATGCATTATTAAAATATTTTTTTTTTATGAGACAAATATACATACAAATTTATTTATAGCCGTGAGCGTTTATTTATGTACGTACATATGTTCAAATATACATACATGTATGTAAAAATATGGTTTAATTTGTGCGAAATGTTTATACAATAATATTTAAAAGATATTATTAAAGTTATATAACTATTTATCAATTATATTTTATTTTTAAATAAGGTAAAAATACCTATATATATCTTTTTGAAATATGTAGGAATCGAAAATCCGAATTTATCTCGTATTATTATATGTTTAATTTTTTTTCTTATTGAGCGTGTTTGGACGTCCCTGTCAGGGTAAATGATTGATTTATGTCAGTATTTGGATAAGCCAAATGTCTTGTTTTCAAAGAGACTCGTGCTCTTGTTTGTCTCGCAACGGCTAAAATCCCAAACAAGGAGGTAAGCGTGTCTTTGCCGGATTGGCTGGCGCATTTTTCGAGATTGAGACGCGGAACCGTTTTGGCGAGCGTTGGCGAAAGAGGAGTCAGACGATAAGAGTCCGCGAAAGAATATAGACGCGCGTGAAAAATCTTCGAGCGAACGTTAGGCACACCGCCGCCCGCAAATAAATTGTATAAGAGCTGTATTAAATCGAATTTTGCTAAATAGAATAAAGACGACGCTTTATAATTAATTATTTAATTGTTGTTAAAATAAGATTCCAAATATATAATTAAATTTTTCTAACTATATATATGCTTTACTTTTTTTTTTTAATTACTAATATGTAATATTTATATATAAGTCCAATATAATTGCATTCATTGACAAAGATTTTAAGCACCTAGCTATGTATCTAATAACAATGTTATACCTATACCAATAATATTGGCAATAGTGAAAATCATACACTTTTGGGACCATTTTTCGAGTGAGTGATTATTCAAACTGAATTTGTTTACGCATTTGTTTGCGACGTAACATAAGCAAAACATTCGTTTATCATTGCGGTATATATTTTTCTGAGTATTTAAACTTTTTGTAGTTAATAAGTGTATATATGCAAATATCTAATAAATATATTTATTGAAATCTATTAATATATTTACCGTAAAACTACAAGTACCATTTTCCAGCATGG